GCTTATGTAAATCAAACATGACATACAAATATGTAATTAAAAATTTGTACATTAAAGTTTAAAAATAAATATTTTTTTTCAAAAGATCATATAGTATATTTTTATAGTTATGAAAAATAGTAAAAAGAAATAAAAAACAGAAAATTTTAAATAAAAACTGAAAATAGACTATTTTATAATTTTTATAAATTTTTAGGGTCATTTTTATAAATTTTTAAAACTATTAAGGTGTTTTTATAATTTAAACAAATAGAATTCCGTTAATTTAGACGGAAAATAGTAAATTGGACAAAATCGGCTAACAGATGGATAGTTTAGGCTAATATTAAATAACCGAAAAAATAAGGTAGAATTGACAAAACATGTAAAGTTTTGGGTAGATTCACCAATTTTTCCCCACCATTCTTCCCATAAACAAATCCATTCGCACCTTAACTCCAATCCATGCCAATCAATTTTATTGCTTCTCTACCTCTCCAAATGAGTTATTCTTTTTTCAAATTCATCCTATTTTCAATTAAGTGAACCATACACACATTGAAATTTGAAGTGGACGAGGGAGAGGCCAAAAAGTTGGTCAAAGCTGGTGCCATCAACGTTGTCGTTGCAGCCCCTCCTCTGCCAAGATTGCGATTGTAGTTGATGGGAAGCTCAAGAACAAAAGCAAATCATGGATTTGATAGTTTTATGAGCTATTTAGTATCTTCCTTTCTTTTTTTTTTTTAATTTTATATCTTCTTTAGACCGAAAGTAGGATATATCTTAATTTTGATTTGATTTGATTTTTGTAGTTTGTTCTACTGTGATTGTTTTTGTTGATGTTGGATTCTTCGTATTCTTGTGTAAATGTGGTTTGACGATTGTGCATGATAGGGGTTTGTTGAATTGCCTCAACCAAATAATCGAGCTATTCGGACTGGGCTCAAGCCCGCTGTAAATCGACCGAGCCGAGCTCGATAAGAGGCTAACTCACGCTCGGCTCGGCTCAATTACACCCCTACACTAGTTATATTAGATGTACCTAGTGAGGGTGTTGCTTTATTTCTGGTCCGATTTTAATTTTTAAACACGTCTACTCTAACTAACGAAACTTCCAACTCCAGAAACAAATCGGACCAAAATTGGATTCCAAGCAGCATTGTTAGATCCATATTTAGAATCTAACCGCACTAGCATTCGACATGCCTATTCCTTCACAAAAAATACTAACTAATGTTATCTTTAACAACAACCTCAATACTATCTTACCTTAATTTGTATATTTCCGTAGTCAACAATTTTTACAAGTACTAATCCATGGTTTATTGGTTACATCTTGCTTTTCACGGCATGTGAATTCTAGTATTCCTGGAGAAGTCTATTACCCTTTAACATTAGTTATTTCGCCGAGACTTTACTGCACCGCCCATATGTATCTTGATCTAGTGATGTGGGGGTGCTTGCCATGTCCACCAGATTTTGACACCTCATCGTCAACATCCCGGTTGATCCAGTTGCTTTCTTGACCAACACTTAAACTAGATGGAGAATCTCTTACACCATTGTTTCCGTTTATGCAAAAAGTTCATTTTTTAATATGATCCCAATTTTTAACAAATCGTCCCAAACCAAATACACTGTCACGTTCCATTCTTCAAGCAGAAGATGAATTGATGAAAGAACAACCCTTAATCTTTTCTCTTTTATTGCGATTATTGGATCAAATTTCTCAATATATTCTTCATTAAGTAACCTTCAATAAATCCAATTCTTGGTTATTTTATTTTTTAATGAAAGATCAATTTGGCTTCCACTTGCAGTGCAAGGAATTGGACACTTCTGCTCCGACATGAGTTCTGGGAAGCAAAATTTTGCATCGGATGTTATGGCAGTGGCAGCGCAGAAAGATTGGCGGGAAACTCAACACTATGTAAAACCAAAGGCTTTTATGAAAGTTTGGCTAAATCATGACGTAATGGAGGTATCGTGTCCTCGAAATATTTTATTTATTTATTTATTTATTTTTTACATATTTGCAGGGTGTCTACTATTGGCAGCAGTGACTAATATAATAATCAAATAGTCTATGTCTCCATTGTTCAACACAAAAGAAAGAAAGATCAATATCATGTAAACCACTTTTGATATGAAAGGTAATTTTAAAAAATTTAATGAAATTTTACTCTAAAAGTAAAAACATTTGGCATAAATTTCTCTATCCCATTACATTCATTTTCTCTCCATGAAAAGCACATAAGAATAAGAATCTTATATCATTATATATATTAAAGAAAAGAAAGATAATCGATACGTGTTGCTAATTGAGACCATCAAGCCTCACTTTCAACTTATTGTCATTTTAGCCCTTAAAGTTCTATTTATGTGCTATATAGTCTTCAAGTTTATCAATTTTACATTTTCAAGGACGATTAATTATGTCTAATCCCCAAAGTCCCCTTACCTATAAATAAGCCATAGACATCTAGACATAATTTACACATTTTTTAAATATATTTTTTTTATCCAAACATAATATTAGTTAGTGGTGATAATTTTTGTTATACAACTTTTCAAAATTTTTGTTGTAATATTTTTTGCCAGATCTTACAAATATACATCTCATAAATAATATCAATACCTCTCATTTTGATCAAAAATTGATTAATCAAAAAAATATTACGGTTTTAAGAAATATTAGTAACTACATTATCTAATTAATTCTTTTGAAAAATAAATTTTAAACATTGACAAACCCGAGCAAAGCGCGGGACACATACTAGTATTTATGAAACGGCAATCAATTGAAAAATTGAAAAAGTAATTATACATTGGGATAGTAAATATCTTGACGTAACTTTTTGAGTCCAATAATTTACTAGCAGGCTATAAAAATACCATGAGTAAATATAGAGATTCACAAATCGGCTATATACTGCAAGTAATTCAACAATATTGGGATAAAAGGATTTTTCGTTATGAAATGATTTGATGTTTTATGAAAATTTGTCGCGTTATTTTGGGATTAAGTTTTTAGTAAAATAATATGTCCACATTCATTAGACCCTTTATATGTATGTGGATGATAAATTTTCCCGTAATACGGGATTCAATTCCATTTTTTTCCGTAGGTGGAAACTATTGTCTAATGAATTAAATGGGTTAGGTGGATTTTTAAACCTAAAAAAGAAATGATTTCTTTTAATTTATATTAGATGTTAGACCTGTCCGATGGACGGGGAGCACATATACATAGACATTACTACACAAATGAATCAAAAAAATGTTAATATTTGTATAGATTTTTGTATTTTTATAAAATATATAATGAATTTATTAAAAAATATAAAACACAAACATCGATAACACTTTACCAAACGAATATACTGGTAATTTATTTAACGCAAAAAAGATTATTAAGAAATTAAAAAAAAAATGAACTTTGAATTAAATAATTATATATCTTGCAATATTTCCTGGTAGACTACATTGGTAGTATGGGTGGAAAGGTCGGCTAGGGTGATTAAGAAATTATGATAAGGAATTTTTTATTTTTTTTGAAAAGGTTTATGATAAGGAATGGTTACTACAGAAACAACAACTCTAACTTGTTGTAGAGGCCATCCAATTTTTTGAATAAGAAAAATTAAAAAAATTAAAAAAAATTGGATATCAGGACCTTTATTTCTTGTTTCAGTGTGACTTTTGATTTCAGTGTTTTTATTTTATTATTTTATTTTTTAAATATGATGCATTCTCACTTTCCTTCATTTTTTATATTTTAGCCTCATTTGTTCGTTTGATTTAGTTATTTCTCATTACCTATCTAATAATTTATCTTTAATTAACTTATCCGTTGTCAAAAATATTTTATTTAAAATGTGAGGATGAGACTATTTTTTTACCCTTAAAGAATATCATTTACCTATTTTTTTCTTCATTAATATCTTTCTAGACACTTTCGCAAATGTCAAATCTATCCTGCTCATTTTTTTTTTTGAATTAAAGTTAGATTTTTTAGCCCCGCTACATCAACCCATCACCATAGTATTTTAACTTAATTCCATATTTGAAGCTAAATTATAGAAGTTTCAGGTTGGCCTAACTTCTTTAATTATTTTAATAAATTATTAATATAAAATTCTTTTTCAGTTGCGTTTTTTTTAGGAGGAAGAGATCCGTCCATCGAATTTGCAGGGATTTGGTCGAATCAATATAGGGTTTGGATTTTTTCAGTTGCGTTTTTTTTTTTTTTGGTTTTTATTGTTTTGTTTTGTGCATTTTTATATATAGAAAATTAAGAAAATGCCACATAGGATAAAATCCTATGTGGCGTGTGCTCCTTAACTTTAGATTTCTCTCTCTCGTTTTTGCGTTAGTATAGTATATATATATAGAAGATTCATTTTACCATTATGGATGAACTTGGACATAATTCTTTTAATTCTTGGTTTAAGATTACATTAAAATGATTGCGTATCATATCTATGCAAATTAATTCACTTGATACAAAATTTAAAATATTTTCAAACTCTACTCGCGCCGATGCTTATTCCGCCTCTTTCTTCTTCTTTTTTTCATCTTCCTTCTCATTTTTTACCTTATAAAGCAGACACCATAAGCACATCATTACAACTCACACAAATGTAACACAAATTATATTTTCTAATTCTATGGCTTTTATATTCAAAATGCGTAGCAATATTGATAATTCTCAAGGTATAGGGTGGAATGTGAGAGTCTGTACATTGAAATGAATGATTTTTTTAATGAAGTAGGTGTCTTCGATTAATTATATCTTGGGGAATCAGAAGGTAATTTGGGTTTTATCTCAATTTTTAACAAATTTTTTGACACAAGTTAACTAAAGTTTGATTATTCAATTTCTAATAATCTAAATTTAAACATACCATTTTAACATGGGAGAAGTTCTACATTCTCCTACAACCTAAAAATAAAAATAAAATAATTAAACCAGAAAATATTCACGACCCGAGCGACGCACGGGCAGCTACTAATTTACAAAACAAAGGGCAAAATGACTGGAGACTGAAGAAAGGAAGAAGAAACTCCCCACCCCTACAAAAAAGTCCACTCACAAAAACCCGACCCAAAATCTTTAGGTTTGTATATTTACAGTAAACGGATACTCCCATTTCCATTTTCTCCTCTTCTCACGCACACAGTCACACACTGGGCGATTACACACATTTGGGGTTTCTCGTTGTTGTACCCCCAACCCCGACGCTCCAGTTTACTAGGGTTTTTCTTCCTTCCCAAATTCGGAAAAACTGTTTCGATTTTCTGGCTTTCTTTTTTCTATGTTATTCGTGGATTTCATGACTGGTGAATGGAGATTCTGTTCCCCAATTCTCTGGCGAATGATTTATCGTCTCCGATTTTTCTCTTGATTGCCTTTGTTGTCACTGCTCTCGGCTGCGTTTTCGCGACTCTGTTCACCGTCCGAACCACGTCAAAGAAAAAATTCGTGGGTTGTTGTTCGTGCCGGAGTGGCGGTGAATCGAAATTGACATCGCATTTGAACGGAGGAACTAATAGCGGTGATACTGGTGCTGGTGTTGGTGCTGAGGAAATAATGGTGGAGAAAGTGGCTGCGGCGGTGCCGCCTGAGAAGCAGACGGGAGCGTCGATGATGGAGCAGCTTGTGCCTGAGATCACTACTCATGCTTTGAGTTACTTGGATTATCCAAGCCTTTGTAGGCTTTCTATGACGAATTCATTGATGCGGAAGGCTGCTAACGATGACAATGCCTGGAAAGCGCTTTATCATAAGGTTTGTGTTTGATTTCTGTTTTTCTTTGCTATTCCGTTTTGGAAACATTTTTAAGGTTTTGAGTTTGGATTTTTGTGTAGGAAAATTTGTGCTGTATTTGGCTTTTAGGGCTTGGTTGATAAAACTCTTTTACTATTTAGTCATGAAATTAAAATAGTTGAAGTTTGAATTTCTGATGTGAATTGTGAAGAAAATTATATTTCTTTTGGCCAAACAAAATCATAGACGTGGTTGTGTAGGAATTGTATATAATTCGAGGTGGATTGGAACTTGTATTTCCCTTTTTTTCTAAATTCTGAGTCTGTAGTTTAATTTTGATTGGTGGAAGGTGAGTTTTCCTTCATATTGATCGATTGGATATTATTTGTGGACACTACAGGAACAACCAATTCGATATCTACGAGTCTCTCTCTGATTACAAGTGGGTATGGTTATATGAATTGCAGTTGACTTTTTTTGCTTGCATCGAATTAGTGTAGCTATAGCTGGCCTCGTTTTCCCCCTTGATGCTTGGGAAGTAGTTGCACCTCTTCTGTATTGGATTGTGGTTTTGGTTGGCGGTGTTAAATGTAGTTCGTCTGCTCCTTGTTTTCCTGCTCCAAAAGGTGTGAGTCTTTGGAATTTTGACTGGTGAACAGTCATTGAATATGCTTTTCTTATGTGTTATCAGGATTTTACATTGGAGCAAGATAGTGTTACTCCAGTTAATGGATGGAAGGCCTATTATGCTGCTACAAGAGCCATTGTAAATCTTAACAATGAATTTTTTGTTATCATCAAGGACAGAGCACTTGCAGAAATGGGTCGTTTCTGGCTTAATGCAGATTATGTAAAGTGCTTCCATGCATCGGGCGAGTTCTTCACTGGGTAGGATGCTTTGTCTCTTTGTAATTGAATCGTCGATTTTTCTTTCATGTTACGTCTAATTGATTTTCCCCAGATGAAGGCGATTTTTGTGTTTCATATGGACCTTATAATGTGACAAAGCTGTTATTGTTTCCGTCTTGCAAGTTTTGTGATTTTGATAATTGTATATACTCCATTTGTTCAAGATAAGTTTCTTACTTCACAGACGTGCGTTTCTGTAACTTTCCTCTCTCTGCCATTATATTTGGTCTTCATCTGTGGAATCATTTCAAAATGCCCTGTCACTTCATTGTCGCTTGGTTCGTCCTTACTTTTGTTGAAATTACAGCAATGTGATTTATGGTCTTTCTCCTTGCTTCTTGTGGTAATTTTTCCTACAATGATTTTCTTATCATCGTTTTCCTTGGTTCTCACCTTATACGAGATTTGTCTGCTTCAAGCTGTCAATTGATTCACTTGAGCATTTGTACCACTGTAGTTCGTTGGCACTTTAGAATATTGATTTAACCACTGTGTTTGTGTTTTACCTTCAAGAACCATTTCTTTGTGTATTGAGATGACATAAACAGACCAACGCGTTAATGCAGGTACAGTGCAGTTATGCAGAGCTGGCAATTAGCTTTTAACTGGGAGCAAGGTGTAAACTTTGACATTCAAGATGTTCGGGCACGCGTGCTGACAGACGTGGCTTGGGTTACCATGAAAGCATATGTTGATATGGAGTCTGGTCCATTCAATATTACTAACATCTTTGAGTTCCATAATGGGAGATGGTTCATGGTCCATCATCACAGCTCTGTTATGCTTAATGGAGGGGCAGAGCAACATATGCCGCAGGGATAGTGACCATCAAGGCGAGCTCAAGTACAATGTTAATGATGTTCACTGCAATGTCAAATTCGTATAGGCTTTTATTTTTTCCATTTCTTCTCTTGTTAGGACAATCTCGTCTGTGATTACTTGGAAGCGCCTTAGATTACTTTTCAAGGTCTTGGAAGATTTAACCTCAGGTTTATGTTCTTGAGGGTAAACAGTCATCGATGACAAGGCTTATGATGCAGTCTTATCTTGCAGCTAAATATGGTTCTTTCTGATTCAGGCCATGCAAGATGCACTTATGTTCCTTCTTTTATATATATATATATATATATATATATATATATATATAATGGAAGCTGTAGGAGTATGTTGAATTCTTGAAACTGGAGATTACAGTCAAATTCGGGTGTCTTCTTTAACCTTTCTCAGTTAGTGGATCAGCGTAGGGTGGAAGAAACGTGTTAGTACAACCATTGTTGTGCTGGTTTTACCTGCAGATATCTGTAGCTACCTCTTACTAATGGTGTTTTGTTTAGTTGAAATGGCATTTTCTGTATCTTTCATTTCGGCTCTGTAACTCTCCTTTTTTCCTTCTAAAAAAAAACACTTTTTCCGGGTAATTTCTTACTGTTAATTTGAAAGTACGATCTTTTATTGTTCTACCAAAAAAAACAAAGAAAAAAAAAAGAAAACCCTTATATTCACTACGTTCTATTTTGATGGTTTTTAAAAATCTTTTAATTTCTCAGTTTCTTTGTTTGTTTGTTTGGTTTTTTTTGGGGGGGGAGAACGTTGTCAGTTTCTTCATGGTCGTCGATTTCAAGTGGTTTCTTCTTCTCATTGTTATTTCACATGCGGTCTCATTAATAGTTCATCTTTACAAAATCCCAATTTCGGTAAGTATTACACGATTTTTAACTGTATCATTTTCACTAGTAGAATCTATACTTTCCTCATAATATTCATTTAAATTTTCATCCAATTAGTGTCTGTATGAGAATTGAGATCACTAACGATTTACCTAAGGTTTTATTTACATTTTAAAAAATATTTGGAAGTCGACCAAATAAAAATAAAAAATTATATTAATTTTGATAGAGTAACATCATTGTTTCAAAAAAAAAAAAAAAAAGATAAGCAACATCAAACAGAGTAATCAGTAATCACTTGGGACAGCAAGAGTACCATTTTTTCCAGTCAGGTTTTTTTTTTTTTTTTGTTAGTTTTTTTCATCACAGATCAAAGTGTATTTCATCTGTGATTTTTAAAAAATTTCAGAATTTAGTTTTCTCTGATTAATATGAAAAAATCGACAATTAGATGCGCGATAGTGTTAATTTTGCAAAATAAGATTCCATACTTCATCAGTTCATCTGACACATATACAGAACTAAAATCTAAAGCAATATGATGAATGCAGTCAAACAACTAAACAAAAATATTAGAATCCACCCTCTATTCGAGTTTGCAATCTTTTCTGAAGCTTGCACGATTATCAAAACCCTATCAAAAACTAACTTTAGAATTGCTATACACGCGAAAGAGAAGCTTACTACGAAGACAACCATTTCTTTCATTTCCTGGCTGGATTGATCTGCTAAAACTTTCTCGACATCTAACCTGCAAATGAGATCGAGGTCAGAAAAAATTACTGAAACCTAAACATGATTATGCATAAAAACTGAGCATATATCCATCCTCTGCATCATCAAAACTAACCAATAACAAATGGAATTTTTTTTCCCCATGGAAAGAGGAAAAGAGATCCAGCATAATGCCATTATTGAACCAAATCAATTTGTAAACAGAAATCTCATCGGGGTCGCGGTTTCTTTTGCCTCTTAAGCAATGATTTTCTTGAAGGGCAGAGTTTGATCAATTTTACAACTACAGAATATTGTAGCACCTGAGAATTAATCGTCCGTAATTAACGACCCCTTCCCTTTCTCCTCTTTTGGCCTGAGCCTCTAAAATGGAAGGTTTCTTTATTTTATTGATTAGTATCTCTGGCTGTTTTTCTCACATTGAACCTTTCACGAGAACCATCTGTTTAAGAAGACATACAGGGAACTGAGTCCATTTCAGGCCATCCCACCTCAATTTTAAGGCATCTGTTTAGGTATAACCCTTTACATTAACCTCCTAAGGCCCTAAAGTGCTCAAACCTGGCTAAACAAACAAGAACCCAGACAGAAGAACTAAACCATGGCTCTCAATATGCCTTAATTATCTCAGTTATCGCAGTATTGCACTAAAGAATAAATGATCAGGGTGACGATTGTAGAGCATTACAAGGTAAATCTAACCTTAGAAGTGCATTTTCCTGGGCTAGTGATCCCATCTGATTTACAACTGAGGCCTTCCATGATTCAAGACCAGCAGTTTCTTTCTCCTGAAAAAAGAGCCATGGAACTCAACGAGGTTAACGCATGCATAAACTCCAGTTTATTCTATTGAAGTGGAGGTTCTTAGCTTACCATTGTTTTTTTCCATTCCAAGACATTTTTTATCTCCAATTTGCTGCTCTCAAGAAGCTGCGATATTTTCAGCATCTCTTTCTCAAGCTCAGGGAGAATATTTCCCTGCCTTTTTGTCAGTTCTTTAATATAATCCTCCAGCACAGAAAGATTCAACTCAAGCGATCTCACTCGCTGCAACAATACCTTTAAAGCAGTATCTGCATGAACTCTGCTAGGCGGTTTCTTAGCTTTTTGAGAGGGTCCAGGGCTGTTGTTAATAGCTGCCTTGGGCACTTCTAAGTTAACCTCCTCTTTCACATTTACAACAGGCTTGACTACCGGTTCAACAGTACCGTGAACAGCATCATCTACTTTAGGGTTGGTGGAACTTGTTTGCAAGCTTGAAGATGTTGCCGTGGAATTTGTATTAGACTCCGGAGGGGGGACAATAAGATCCTCAAGCATCTCTTCAATGGCGTCAACGCCATATACCTCTACAAAACTTAGGGCACAATAAAACTCTTTCCCATAATGGCTAAGCAAGACCAACTTCAAGTATCTGACAGAGTTCACTGGGTCAGGCAGCTCAAAACATTGAGCATGCTTGACATTTTCAGCAACAAAAGTCCCTAGTGAAATCCAGGTGTCTGTAGGATATACCAAACTCCCCAGTAATTTGAATTCCTTGAAGTTAGAGGAATAATGTTCAAAATTTGCAATTTTGACAGCATCGATAGAAGTTTCGTCAGCGAGCTCAATCACAACATATTTTTCCTTAGCAGAACATGGGTTCAGAAGATATTTGTCATGATCCCTCCCTAAAATATTACTTGCACCACGGGCATCCTTATTAAAAGCAACCACTTTAGCGCCCTTGGAAGCTGAGGCATAGTTGTATGGCGTTCCATCTGGCTCGAGTCGATGGGTGATATTTACTTTCTGTGGTCGAGAACTCAAGCCTTTTGCTTGCCACGTACTATTCTTGAAATCCTCCAAATTGGGATAAGCTAAATGAGTTTTCTCATTCCATGATTTTCCGATCTTATCATGCGCGTCAAGGGATTGAACTTGACAAGACAAATCACCTTCTCCCAAAAAATTTAGAATTACCACCTCCAGTGTAATAATTTCCCGAGGTGAGTACTCCAGCTTTACCAGATGGCCACCATGAATGTCAGAAGCACTAGTGTTTGCAGAGAGATTTACCTTCTTATCATCAATTTCGACAACCGGAGAGGAACAGTTGTGCTGCTTATCGTCATAACGGCTAGAATTACTACCATTTTCCTTGTTGTAGACCAAGTTTCCTGCATGAATAACGAACATTGACCCATCAGATCTTCCTGTAAAGTGACAGAACTGCCAAACATTTTAAAACTGAAATTGCAATCTCTATTATAATGGATAAAAAGGAAAAAGGAGAAAGCTTAGCAATCAATATTGCACTACAACAGCTCAACCAACCAAGAACACCCACCCACCCAAAAAAAAAAAAAAAAAAAAACAATGAAAAAACTGTCTTTCCAGGAAAGGGTTCCTAAACTATCTGAGACAGAGGAGCGTGCACTGATGCAAGAACCATAAAAAAAAACAAATGGAAACCATTTAATAATTAAAACACCAGTTACCCAAACCAACAAATCAACAGTGATCATTCTACAAAAGGGTTCCCACAAAAAACCAATTAAAGACATTTAATAATCATAATATAGCCACAAAATAGGTAACCGCCAATAATGAAATCACTAAACCAACAAACAAAAACTGATCTTTCTATTGTGCAGTTCCCAAAATATATACAAGCAAAAAGGGATGCAACAAGAAAAAAGATTAATGTTAAAAAGAAAAAAAAAAAGAAAAGAAAAAAAGGGGATAGTTCTGTAACCTCCTTCAGCAAGGGTGAGACCAAATTCGGAGCAGAAGAACCCAATACATCTGATTAAAAGAAGTACAAATGGGAAATAATACAGCTTAGGATAGATAATCAAACTCCTCTTCTTTTTAATGGGATCATCACCATCAGACTGCACCATTTCTCTCCCCACTGTTTCATAAGAAAGCCTTTTTAAATTCCCAGCAGTCCTTCTTGCAATTTCCTCCTCCTTTTCATAATTTTTTTATGGGATCTTTTCATGGTTTCATGTCACTAATTGGGGATTTGAGGAAAGATGGAATCTTTTTCCTGTGTTTTTCTGTTGGTAATTGGTTAGAGAGTGTGGGAATGTTCTTTGGGTTTTTTTGCGGTGAAGGATTGGCAGTAAGTAAGCTAACTCCCGAAGTAACGGAACCTTGTGAAAGAGCTTTGGTCATATGTATTGTGACTGTTTAATTTTTATTTATTTAGTAAATTAAAAATTATTAGACTCTCGTTTTAGTATTACTTTTGTCCCAAAAAAAAAATAAAGAAAAATTTAGTTGAAGAGTGACAGGGATATGGCCAAAAAATAATTTTTATTTAGAACAGTAAATTACTTGTTAAAAAATTGTATAATTAACACACTTTGGTTTTTACATTATTATTCTCACTCTATCTTCCGATTGAGGGAAGCTATAGACTCCTTATCTTTTTTTCCAGATTCAATCATTTCAATAGGACCTCAACTCGATTAATTGAAAAAGTTGTTAGCCAAACCTGATTAAGAACAAAATTTCCTCTTTCGCTCCATTTAATCGAAATTTCACAAGTGACAAAAACAATTATAAACAAAAATGAATAAAACAAAACTAAAGTTTTATGGGGTGGGATTCTTGTATATGAACCATTTCAACGCCCAATAGCATTTCTATCACAAAGAGAAAGAGAGATTTTTATGTAGTAATAAAAAATTATCTCAACATGATTTGAAGACAATTTAATCAACTAATTAGAGTAACTTCAATAAATCTTAAGCAGTTAAATTATTCATAAAACTGAACATAAAAATAGCAACAACCAATTTTAGTTCCAGAAAAATTTGAATGTTATATTTGCAGCGGTCTTCAACTCCAGTGGTAACAACTTTGATGAGATGCTAAACCTTTGTCTCCAAATTTATCGGTTACCTATTTTATTTTATTTTATTTTATTTTTTTTTGGTTGAAGGTAAAATTTTATCGATCAATCTGCTCAACCAAATACAGAGAACCTACTCTATTACATACATCACAACATTTTCTTAAGAGACAAGAATGCCAATCTGGTGCAAAACAACTTCTCACTATTCTTATATTTATGACAACAACCCAAAATTCTCCACCTTATCTCTTGTTAGATATTTACAAATATGGTTTCAACACTAATCTTCATACCTCCATGAAGAAATTGATTCCCCATCCACCAAACATTATATACTACTGCTGCTAAAACACAAAATAGTACATGTTGCTTGCATTTACTTTGCTTCCAAATTCTAGGCAACCTGGATTTCCATAGTACCATCTGATCCGGGATGCTGTTACAATAAAGCCAAACTACAACTTGCTTCAATAGGTGCATGGAATACTGACACTGAAAGAAAAGATGTTTCATACTCTCAACCATTTCTTGACACAACACACAAAGAAAGGGGGTCTCAACAATATGCAATCTGACCATCCTTTCTGCTATCAAAAGTCTACCCTTAATCGCAAACCAAAAAATTATACTATGCTTAGGAATATTATACTTATTCCATACAAATACAGCTTCTTTAAGTGACTGGCTTGATCCTCGCAACCCGTTATAGTCAGACTTAGTAGTATACTGACCATTTTTGCCTTCTATGCAATAGCCATTCTGAAAACCAGGTTTGATCAATAGGGTTACCTATTGAAGATTGTGAATGAGAAGTTTGGATTTTGATCTTGCAAAATATGATTTGTAATTAAGTTCGTTTAACAGTTTTGTTAATTAATGCAAACTTTTCTTGAAATGATGTTATGTTAGAATCTTGAGGAAGAAGAGAAGAGGATTTAAATTATTTTTTCTTCCGTTAAAAGAACTAATAAGCAAAGGGTAACAATGTCATAATAGAATTGTTTTAATTTTATAATTTAAATCAAGTAATTCACTGCCCTTAATAAAAACTAGTGGGTGGCCCGTCCGTTGTACGGGTTGTGAAGTTTTTCCCAATCAATTAGTGCAAAACATAATTTTATACAAACGAAACACATCAATTAATTTATAATAGGTGCAAAGTTATTTAAAGATGTTAAAATGGCGAAGAATGATAACTTATGTAAATTGTGGAAACATGTAAAGATCAATAAACTTCAAATAATGTATAAAAAATTAATAAATAAAATGTCAAATCCAATTGGAACAAAAGTATTCTCAATCACACTTTATCTAATGCTTCCTTGTAGACTACATTAGTAGTTCGGCATCCAAATTCTTTACCTTTATCACAAATGAGAACTTTTAATCCTTTTCTTGACTGCACTCTAGATAAAACGATGTACAACTGACCATGAGTGAAAACAGGATGTCTCAAGTATAAACTAACATTTGAAAGTGATTGGCCTTGACTCTTATTCATAGTCATTGCAAAGCAAACAATAACTGGAAATTGTCTTCTTTTGATTTTAACCGGCAAACTCTTGTCAGTGGGATCGATCACCATTCGAGGAATGAATATTCTTCTTCCAATATTTGCCCCTGATATTATTTTAGCATGAATGACTCGTTCCCCCAAATCAAGCACTTGCAGTCTTGTACCATTGCATAAAGCTCATGGCTAATCTAGATTTCGAAGCAACATAATAGGAACACCAACCTTCAGAGTTATTTTATGATTTGGCAATCCTGAAGATTTAATACTATTGATAAAATCAACTGAGTACATTGGATTATTTTCGCTATTCGGAGGTTTATCTTGTTGATCAACACTATCTTAACTAAAATAAGTCCTTGCACTTTCATTTAAGAGCGTTAAAATATGATCATTGATAGCATCTACATCATCATGAGTTGGAGCCAAGATAGCCCTTTCATCAAAGAAATTCGGTATATTCAAGTAATATGCTATTTTTGGATAAATAGTGTCACAAATAGCAAAAATAGGATTACCTGAACCTATTACATATATCTTCAGGAATATCAATATTAATTATACCATTATTTGATTCTCCTTCTTTACCATCACCAACTCTAAGCAACCCTTCAGAAAACTCTTTAATCTCAGAAGATAATTTTTCAATATTCCCCTGACGAAGTCTCATGTTTTCTGGTAGTCTCAGCACCTCGCAATTTGACCAAATAGAAGAAGAATTGATAGCAACCGCAACAATTTGTTGACTTGAAGCCTTTGGAATAACTGGCAAGATTTGTCTGAAATCACCTCCAAATTCTGTAACTACACCACCAAACACATGTTTTTTCTTGCCCGACGTAGAGAAACGACTTAAATCCGTTAGTGTTCTATCCATAGCCTAAAAACAATAACGGTGCATCATCGGTGCTTCATGCCAAATAATCAACTTAGTGCGTGCAAAAAGCTGAGCTAGGTCACTTCCAGGATCAACTTTACAAACAGAGTGATCATATATATTTAGAGGTATTTTAAACCTTGAATGTGCCGTACGACCCCCTTCCAAAAGGATCGAAGCAATACCACTTGAAGCTACATTCAACACATTATCACCTTTTTGACGTAAAGCAGTTGACAAAGTTTTCCATATATATGTCTTTCAAGTTCTTCCATAACCATATAAAAAGAAAACACCTCCTTTATCATTATTAATAGCATCTACGATTTTATCATAAACAATTCTTTGTTCATTTGTCAAGCTTGCATGCAAATAATGGTGTTCCCTTTTCAAAACTTGTCTATCATATTGAAGTTCTGTACTATTAAAATTATTTCGCTCATTAAGGTCAATATAATCGTGCAGATATGGCATCTGATCATAAATCTTCAAACTTTTTCCCAATTTTTAAAGAATTTTTTCGACCTCATTCAATACGAAATTATGCAACTCTTCATCAGTCAATTGAATTCCTATTCGGTAAAAATATAATCACACATTAAGTAAAAGATTTTTAACTAAAATATAAAGAAAATGAAACATTAATTGGAAATATTTAAAAAAAATATATAATTTGAACGTGAAATTGAAAAACTTACTTGAATGAGGTCTGCACAATCTTCTCCGTTTATGCAATATATCATCTGTAAACCTCCAAGTTGTTTCCCACACACGTGTATGATCGGTTAGACATTTTCCAACCAGCATTGTAGCAAATAGTTCCCTCAAATAGTGTGAGGTGCCCAACTTGGCAAATTCTTCTATGCTAACAATATATTCACGATCATCTTCCAACATACCCAAAGCAACGCAAGCATCTTTATAACTATTATGAACTTATAGCATCGATGTCGGGTCTTTTACTACACTTATAGCATTCTCATGTAATATATATCACCAGATCCAAAAAGAACATTATGAAGTCGACCAATACTTAAACCTCTCTTTCTAGGTACCAAGTTTTGAATTCCCTACTCCACACAAACTTACTTGGAAATTCAACATAAGTTAAGTCTTGAGCTTCTGGATATATCTTATTACATTCCATCCATTCAGTAAACATAAGTAAAATTTTACCTGATGGATCCTTAAGGTCTTCAATGTCAGCTCTCTCCTTGAAGATGATAAATTGCTCGTTTGGAAGAAGAAAAGAAAGTCTCTCAACTGGCATTGTTCGATAATGAATAGGAAAACCGTGTATTCTTCATATTGCCTCACAAGCTGAAATACATCTACAATCATAATGCCTCTTGACTTCATCGCGGTTTTTAACAAATTTCAGTAGATCTTGATTCTCAAATTCAACTGTTATTCTATCCGGTCCTTTATTTATGTACTTGAATAAATATCTGACATCCTGCATCTGATTGCACCATTAACGTTTATATGAGCCCGAAACATCTTAAGAAGCTTACCATTATACGGAACAATCCAACGATTGTTCAACTTAATTTTGTTCCGTAAAACTATTACACCAGTGTCACGTCTTCTATAATCAGGATATCCATTATCATCAACATAGCTGAAGTCAGAAAAATCCTTTGGATAAATCTTTGAACAATAACCATTCTCCATGCAAGGACAATTTGGTCTTGTTTTACCGCATGGACCGTGCATCATATAATCTTTCACAAGTTCATGGAGCTCGGGATTTTATCCTCTTTACTTGGAATTTCTGCAGATATTACCTTGTCAAAATCATCTGAATTTATTAATCTGTCTTCAGGGTGTATCCAGAATAAAACATGAGCATGCGGAAGGCCCCACTTTTGAAACTCAACGGTATAAAGAACTAATTATTAAAAAAAAATGTT